CCTTCAATCTATTATCTTTGGCTCGTTTTTCTGCTAATAATAATGTTTATTTTGAATTTCATCCCCATGAATTCTTTGTGAAGGGTCGACGCACCGGGATGATACTCCTTTAAGGGATGAATAGGGATGGTCTCTATCAGCTTCATCTTCCAATCAAATTATCGACTATGGCTCCTTCTCCTACTGCATTTGTGGGCACTCGTACTAGCCCTGATATTTGGCACCATCAACTGGGTCACCCTACTCTTAGAGTGACTCAACAACTTATTTCTTCTCATCATTTGCCAGTAGTTTCTAGTAATGATTTATCTTTTTATTTAGCTTGCTTAATAGCTAAAAGCCATGTACTTCCCTTTTCTTAGAACCATGCTATTAGTAATTCTTCTTTAGAACTTATTCACTATGATTTATGGGGACCCTCTCCCGTCACATCTACTTCTAGCTATTGATATTATGTTCTCTTTGTTGATGATTTCAGTCATTATTGTTGGATATTTCTGCTTACTTGCAAATCTGAAGCATTCCATGTTTTCTTGACATTTAAACCCAATGTTGAATTATTCTTTGATGCTAAAATTAAATATTTTCAAAGTGATGGAGGTTTTGAATTCAAGACCTTTGAACGATACTTCAATGAAGTTGGCATCTCTCACCAAATATCATGCCCACACACTCAAGCTCAGAATGATCATGCTAAACGCAAACATCAGCATGTTGTTGAGACGAGTCTTGCACTTATGACCCATGCTATCATTCCTCCTAAATATTGGTTTGAGTCCTACTCTATTGCAGTTTATCTCATTAATCGACTCCCCACTTTGGTGCTTAGATCATGCTCTCCGTTTGAGAAATTATTTGGTCGCCCCCCTAACTACCTCGAGCTCCATGCCTTTGGGTGTGAATGTTTTCCACACATTCAACCATATAATAAACACAAGCTACAGCTTCACTCTCTTTCGTGTGTGTTTCTTGGGTATTCCAATTCTCACAAGGGGTATGTTTGTTTACATCGCTCTACAAGACGGATATTTATCTCTTGCAATGTGATTTTTAATGAGGAGTGTTTTCCATTTATTACTTCCGTTGATACCGCACCAGCAACACAGTCTCCTCCGCTTCTTATAGTTGGGGCTCCTCCCCTTGTTAATTCTCCTGAAGCGGCTCTTCCCGAAGAAGTTCCTTCTCCTTTACCTCCCTCTCAGAGAGATACACAACCAACTTCAAGTACTGAATCCACCACCTCAGTCTTGCCGTCCTCATCTTCCTTGCATCCCATGACTACTCGTGCTCGACAGGGAACCTTCAAACCAAATCCAATGTATGCTCTACTTGCTAGTCCACTTCCGGAATCTGAACCAACATGTCATTCCTAGGCTCACAAGGATCCCGGCTAGGTCCTTGCTATGACTGATGAGTATCGGGCTTTACTTTAAAATAATACTTGGACTCTCATCCCACCTCCACCTAATAAAAATATTATTGGGAATAAATGAGTTTTTAAAATCAAACGTAAGCTTGATGGTTCGGTTGAACACTCCAAAGCCCGCCTTGTTGCAAAAGGGTATTCTCAAGAAGTTGGCCTTGATTATGATGAGACTTTCAATCCTGTAGTGAAACCAACTATTACTCATACAGTTTTATCTTTTGTGGTTTCATTCAATTGGGATGTTCGCCAGTTGGACATTAGCAATGCCTTCTTACATGGCAATATTTTAGAAGAAATTTATATGAAGCAACCTGTTGGATTTGTTGACCCTAGATTTCTAACTCATGTTTTCCGTCTCCACTGATCATTATATGGCCTAAAGTAAGTCCAACGTACATAGTTTACGAGGCTACGTGATTCACTCCTATCCCTCGGCTTCCTCGAATCCAGAGCCAATGCCTCACTATTTATATCTCACTCTACCTCTGGCATTGTTTTGGTTCTTGTTTATGTGGATGATATTATCGTCACAGGATCATCTTCATTGGTTCTTTGATTCAGCATCTTGCTTCTCAGTTTTCTCTTCGAGATCTAGGTCCCACACACTACTTTCTTGGAATTGAACTTCAACGGTCATCAACTGGTTTTCATCTCTCTCAGCACAAGTATATTGACGATCGTCTTCATCGAGCCCAACTTCATGATGCAAAACCTCTCTCCACCTCGATGTCTGCCTCCACTCGGCTCACCAATTCGGAAGGAGAACCTCTCATAGACCCCACATTCTATCGCAATATTGTGGGTACTCTCCAATATGTGACTATTACTCGTCCAGAAATTTCCTTTGCAGTCAACAAAGTTTGTTAGTTCATGCAAAATCCCACTATGGTCCACTAGGCTGTCGCGAAGAGAATTCTTCGATACCTGAAGGGTACAATTGATTATGGAATGCTTCTTTGACCAAGTTGTACATTCTCTCTCGCCACTTACTCTGATGCTGATTGGGAAGCTATCGCATGGATCGTCACTCCCAGAGTGGTTATTGTGTGTTCTTCAGACCTAATCTCATTTCTTGGAGTTCCAGAAAGCAACCAACTATGGCTCAGTCCAACACTGAATCTGAGTATCGTAGTTTGGCTTCTGCGACTACTGAGGTTCTCTGGCTTCGCATACTTCTCCAAGAATTAGGTATCTCTCTCCCTATGCCTCCTCTGCTATGGTGTAACAACATGGAGGCTAAATTTCTTGCTACTAATCCCGCTCTACATTCTCGATCTAAACACACCGAGTTGGATATACATTTTATTTGGGAAAAAGTCGCAGCCAAGCTCCTTGATGTTCGGCTTATTCCTTTGGCTGATCAATTAGCAGATATTCTCACAAAGCCCCTTGGTCTACCTCAATTTGCGCTACTTCACAGAAAGCTCACCATTGCTCCTCTGACTGCGCTTGAGGGGAGTGTAAACGATAATGATCATACGTACATGACTCATGCACGTATCTAGGAGTCCTAAGCTCTCTTTGTATTCTAGAATCTTAAGATTTCTTTGTATCCTAGTTACTCTCAGATTGTATTATCCTAAGATTTCTTTGTATTTTAAGATAAGACTGTCTTATCTTAAATAGGATTCAATCTAATCCTATCCTAGATTAGATAGGATTCATCCTTTTAAATCTCTTCTCTGTAATCTATATAAATAGTAAGAAAGAGTCAAGTAAATCAACCGACCACTATTCAAAACACCTCTCTTTTGTTCTATTAGAACCCACTAATACTGAAAAATAAACATGAATTTGTTTTTTATTCTGAAAAACTTATCAACTCACCTGTTCCTACTTTCCTGAAAACAAATGAAGAGTACATAGTCATCTAGGATACACAAAAGCAGAAATTGATACCTACGAGGCATATGCAGTTTATTGTCCACCTAAAACATAACTTCTGATATTCAGATAAGGTACTGAAATATTGAGAACAATAATCAAGATAAGCCTGTTTTGAAGTGAAGCTACCCTTCCTGTGCTTCAACAAGAACCAAGAAACCTCAGAATTGGAGGGTAAAATAGGGGTTTGGCAAATCATATGTACCACAGATTCAGAAAATAACTAGTGAACCCAACTCAAATTCCAAGAACAGTTTGGACTGATTAAATCAGAGATTTTGGAGAGCCGTAAGGCCCTTGGCAAAGATTGAAGGAGCATGGAAAAGGTATGATTATGAAAAATCAATATTCTTAGTGGAATGGGTTCTAACAAGCCACTTCCGTTTGAAGTTCCTTAAGAGCAGGACCTATAGACTTTTGTATCATTCCAAAGTTCAGCCCACAATTTAATTACTCATGATATTCAGTATTTCATACTTTTGTATCATGACAAATAATTCCTTGAAATGGGTTTCGGTCAGGGCAAGCTTGTGTTCACACTGTTTTAATAGCCTCTTGCAACCTTATATTAGAAATATCTCCCAATAAAATAAAACATATAAGTATAGAGATATTCTCAATGCAAACTGTAAAATCTTCAAATGGATGTTGCCCTGACTGAAGCCAAACTCCAATTCCTTCTATCATCATGCCATCATAAGAGCCAATGGTATCATGGTATGTATCTATATGCACAATCACATGTCTTATCAAGCATTTCTAAAACCAAAAAAATGCTTTTATGTCGACTCCAAGAAAAAATGCTTTTTTATTTCACTTTAGCATACAATTTTACTCTAACCCATTTAATATCACTACAAAAACATGTTTCTAATTATTCTTGAAAAAAAATGAGAAACATTACATGATACCTTATAATTTATACCCCAAACCAACAACTCTCAACCCCAGTAATATCCATTATCTATTTCCTTTCTCAAATGCTGAAAAACCCATATAAGAAAAAAACACTTTTAAACTAATAACGTGCTATTATTTAAGGGTGTAATTAATTCGGGTTGACCCAAGTTAACATTTTATGCTCCTTTAGGTTCGAGCTTCAGGTTGGATTCATTCAAAATTTTGACAAAATCCCAATCCTAACCCACCTAAGTTGCACCTCTACTTAATATCTTGATCTCTATTTCTCTTCCAAAGTTCAAAAAAAATTCTCTACCAAAGAGTTAATTTTATATATATATAAAAAAAAAAACCTTCATATGAAAAACCCTCCTTGACTATAAGAAAGACTACACTCACTCCCAAATTACATTTCAACCCAATAGTTAAAAATAAGATACAAACTCAACATAATATTCATAATGAATTTACATGATTTATTTCTCTCCTTATATCACATAAATTTCTAAAAGGTAGATATTTTGCTCTTTTGCTTATTGATTTAGGCTCTATTTGGGTCTTTCCAACGCAGCCTTAGGGTGCTGCATATCATTTTCTGAGCAACTGCTGACACCCCTTTTGTCTTATAATAATGCTCTGTTCCAACTTCCAACGTATAGGAAACAATCATCTGTTTGGAAAAACAGTACTCTAAGTCACGTTTTAGAAATTGGAAATGCATGACTTGAAGCAACCCAAATTTAGCATTTCCTCAACTGTAATTCGTTATTCCCAACAGGGCAATGAATAATGAGTAAAAGCAGAGAAAACGTTTCAGAAAAAATTGCTATTGCTCCGAGACCTAACATCGACGATTCCGATGCTTCTCACCCACACATCATCAGCACCGTTGCATTGCAGCATCGATGTCAAATATATACAAAATATTCCCCATATATTGACAGTGGGGACTCTTCTCTTTAACGTAAAAGCAAAACCCTTTTTGTTGATTGCTTCTCAATACCTTTGTCTTAATTTTTTATTAATAAATATTTGCTTTAATATCCGAAAACCCTTCAAACAGAGAGCGTATGAAAGTCTCAACAGACTGTTGTAGGATAAAAATCTCAACAGAATTTGTATCCCCAGAAAAAGTCTCAACAGACTGACTTTCATTTGCATTTCTTTTGCCATATCCCGCTTTTTTGCTTTTTTTAGATCCATCAGACTCAGAGACAGAAATTTTTTAGTTCTTTTCATTTTTTATCTTTCTTTTCCATCTGGAGTTTCCTTTTTCTTTCTTGTAACTTCTTTCGCTTGTTTGCTTGATTGCTTCTAAAAACACGGAAAGGGTGAGGCTTCATCACGCTTCCACCTTCAGAGTTCAGATATCCTTTATTTTAACACTTCTGAAGGTTCTGTTCGATTTACGAAGTGGGTTGTTGCTCTTTTCCTCTTTACAATGGAGAAATTTTGTTTTCTTCTTCTCTTTGCTCTGGCCTTTTTGTTTAATGGCGGATTTTCTGTGACTGATGGAACGGAGGACGGATCCGAGCTATGGGGATATGTTGAAGTCCGACCAAGTAAGCCGAATGCCTTACAACCTCTTCTTCTTTTCTTATTCAATCCTCTTTGTTTTAATGCTGTCAGAGTGAACTTCAAAATGCACTGCCTCAGTTATGATTTTTCTGAAATGTAGAAGCTCATATGTTCTGGTGGTACTATAAGAGCCCGAACAGAGTTGAAGACCCTTTCAAACCTTGGCCAATTATTCTGTGGTTGCAAGGAGGACCTGTGAGTAATCACTGTTCATGGTCAAAAGGAAATGAATATTACATACCCAGATATCTGTCTTAACTTCTGTTTCTGAATCAAAATTTCTTGTGTTTTGAGAAATTAGGGTGGTTCTGGAGTTGGTATTGGGAATTTTCAAGAGGTTGGACCATTGGACACCAATTTGATGCCTCGGAATTCAACTTGGCTCCGTGTGGCCGATCTCTTATTCGTGGTAAGTAATCTTTGCTTGCTTCTTTTTCTTCAATGGTTTTCTTTTCTATGAAGTTAGTGGTAAAATGGGTCTGTGAATTGGAAGTTTCCTTTTTATGGTTATGTACATTTATTTCTTTTTGGTGTAATACTGTAACTTAGGATAACCCAGTTGGAACGGGATTCAGTTATGTGGAGGATGAGAAAGCTTGCGTGAAGACAGATGAAGAGGCTGCAATTGATTTAACCACTCTGTTGAAGGAGCTCTTCAATAAGAATGAGAACCTTCAAAACAATCCTCTTTACATTGTAGCAGAATCTTATGGAGGAAAATTTGCTGTTACTCTTGGACTATCAGCTTTTCAAGCTATTGCAGCTGGAGAGTTGAAGCTTAAACTTGGAGGTAATTAAAAAAAGAAACTATTTTATAGCAAGTTTAAAACTTCAATGTTCGTTACTGCTTAGCAGGAAAAGGAAATGCGCCCTTTGCATACTTGTTGACAACATTAACAAATTAATCGTTTCAACTAAACAAAACCTTGTTCCAGATATTTGGAGTTGGGTACAAGAAGCCTTTTCGTCTTTCCACTCTAGTCAGGGTTATTAGATTCGTTATGGTACAGTAAATGTACTCAATGCAAATGACAAATTTATCTTAGGGTCTGTTTGATTCACAGGATTAGGGGTCTGGAATTGGAATGGTCCGTTCTGACCATTCCGATTCCAACTGCTTGGTTGAGTGGAACCAGAATCCCATTCCTTTTCCTGGTGGAATGGCATTCTCTCAATTGAGGGAATGGCCATTCCCTCCTCCTCCCTTGGGAATGAGAATCCATTCCAACTGATTATAATTTCGATTCCAATTCCTGTCTGAACCAAATGGGCAAGAGGAATAGAACATTCTGATTCTGATTCCGACGGGTTCCTGTTCCGATTCCGACTGCAAACCAAACGAACCCTTAGTTTTATCAGGTATTTATCTCAACTTCATGCGAGTTTTCCCCCATTGACGAAACCATTTGTAAGGATTTTGGTTTAGTTTGAGCTTTTAGTATATTTGAAACATCTCTAACTACCATATGGATTTTATCATCTGCAATGGTCTTCATAGAAATAACATTCTGTTTTCTATTTTACTGTGGAGACAGGAGTTGCTTTAGGTGACAGTTGGATCTCCCCTGAAGATTTTGTGGTAAGTATATATCTTTCAACTTTCTATTAAGGGACTGATTAGTCGTTTTTGCATTTCTCTGTTTTGAAACTATATAACTCTCTTTTCACAGAATTAGGATTTTAATATGAAAAATGCAGTTTGCGTGGGCACCTCTGCTCAAAGATTTGTCACGGCTTGACAACAATGGCGTGGAAAAGGCAAATAGGTCTGATCTTATTATTTCTTAATAAGATAAAGGGAAAAAAATGGAATGATTTGATGGAAGATATTTGAGTTGTCTAATATGCCAATCCCATAAAACAGTATAGCTCAACTGATTAAGCAACAAATTGAGAATGGCCAGTATAAAGATGCTACCAGCTCATGGAGTGAACTTGAGAGTATGATTATTGCCAGCAGTAACCGTGTGGTACAATCTTCCTTGCTCATTGCCTTTTCCTCTAATTGATTGATTGATTATTTTTGAGCCACTGCACAAGGTTTTATATTTAATGCAATGATCCTTTTCGCATTGCAGGATTTCTACAATTTTCTGTTGGATGCAGGAAGAGACCCACTTGCCATCAAAACCATGGAATCGTCCGCGATGATAGCAGTTCATAAATACTCAAAATATCTCAGCTCCAATAAATTCTCTGGTGATGGTGTTGACCTTGGAAGCTTGATGAATGGAGTCATTAGAAAGAAGCTAAAGATTATACCCAATGATGTCAAGTGAGTGATTTTTGCCACAATGGAAACACATCAAGGAAAATAGACACTAAAATATTCTCTCTAGTTTTCTCTTTTTATTGTTTCTCATTCAGATGGTTGCTGCAGATGGGGAGGGCAATCAGAAATCGTTTTCTCTGCTCTAGATGGCGACTTCATGAAGCCGAGAATTAATGAGGTCATCCTTTAGCATATAGATGTATTGTTTAGGGAGATTATTGAAATTGATCAATTCATGATCATTTTCATTTTTTAAGATCCTACATGGGCATTATTTGCATTATAACTGAAAAAAAGGACATTAGACATCTAATGGATTCCTTCAATGGTTAGAACATAAAACTCTATATATTTTTGTTGATTCGGATTGCTGCATTTGATGATGTTCTAAACAAGAATATTTGTCATATGAAATATCTATTTCCTTTTATTTCCAACTTGAATAAGACCTGAAGTTCATTTGTTCCAAATAGAATCTGAAGGGTGATTTATGATTTTGCACAGGTTGATGAACTCTTGGCCAAAGGTGTTAATGTGACAATATACAATGGGCAGGTATAGTTTCTGAAAGTCTGAAGGAGACTCCACCTATTAAATCTCCCTAATAGCCCTCCATTGGACACCCACCCTTGCATAGGAAAAACAGAAGTATTTCTTCCTTTTTTTGGTGAAGGGAGTAGGGGTGCAACTTGGGTGGCCTTGGGTTGGGATTTTTTCAAAATTTGAATGGGCCTGGCCAAAGGCCTAAGCCCGAAACAGTGTAAAATGCTAACTCGGGCCAACCCAAGTTGTAGCCCTAGGAGGGAGGATTTTGACTTGAAGGTAGCTGATCAGGGTATTGAGATCTCAATAATAATAATAATAATAATAATAATAATAATAATAATAATAATAATAATAATAATTAGTTAATTAATTAATAAGTCCATTACCCAATATTGGTCCCAGCTATCTGGGGTCTTGAGAGGGGTAGACTGGTATAGTCCCAACGTTTGGAATTTTTCACACAAAGTGACTACCCTCAGGTATTGACTATTGAGATCTTAAAAGCATTAGATAAAGTTTTATTATATAAATTACCTCTATTTTTGTAACAACCAACTGGTAGCTAAGCTTTGGTGTCAAAGGCTTCTAGTTGAATCCAAATTACTGACATATCTTGGTTGGTTATTATAGGTTGATCTAATATGTGCAACAAAGGGGACTCAAGCATGGGTTGAGAAACTGAAGTAGCAAAATCTCTCTCTCTCTCTCTCTCTCTCTCTCTCTCAACCCCTCTTTTTTTATAAAATTCTTTTTTCTTTTACAGGTGGGAAGGGCTTAAAAGTTTCTTGGGCTTGGATAGAACGCCTCTTTACTGTGGAGATGACAAAACAATTACAAGAGGATTCACCAAATCATACAGAAATTTACATTTTTATTGGGTTCTTGAGGCAGGACATTTTGTAAGTTACCATCATCACAGTTAAAATTGTCCTAGTGTCAGAATTTTACTTATCAATTTCATTTTTGGTATCAATCATTAAACACATTAAGGGACCTCTTGGAGAAATTATAGCCACTGTATTTACTGCTTCAATCAGCACTCGGCAACTTTCTGTGTTTGCCCTGACAAAGAAATAGAAGAAAAGGAAAGAAAATATTCTTTGCATAAATACTTTTGAACATTAAAATTTGGGTTTCATAAAATCAGTATTTAAGTACTTTGTTCACGTAAATATGACGAATGATTTTTAGTAATTCTCATGTCAAAGGTAAAAAAGGGCAGCCCAGTGCACCAAGATTTGAACCCTGGTCACCCAGGTCACAATGGAACAGTCCTACTATTGCACCAAGGCCGTCCCTCATTGCATTGAATGTGATGAATGATTTTAGTGATTCTCATGTCAAAGCTGTTTCTGATTTATGCAGGTCCCTGTTGATCAACCCTGCATTGCACTGGATATGGTACGGGGCATTACACAGTCTCCGATTTCTTCTTATTAGGGGCTATTTATGAAAAAATTAGTAGCAACACTAGAAAAGAAGGATGAGGGAGAAAAAGTTCCTGATATATGTATATTAAGCCTCTTTAATTTTTTTCAATAAAATCTCCCTTGTAGTTATTTCTTCATTCACATTTTTTTATCTTAACTTCAATATAAGGCATTCCACAAATCACCTTGCAAGTTGCAACCTATTTGGGTTTTTTTTTGGTGGTCAACTTCTGATGATAATGAATGATAACTGATTCAAACTTTGATTTTCTATTGTCATCCCCAAATCGATTTTCATGGGATCAGTGTTTTCTCTGAGTATGATCTTATGGGTTGATTTAGAACCATTGGGGCTTGTATTTATCAAATCTGATGGACCAAGGAATCGATGAACAATTCAATCTGATCTTATACATATAATCCATTAAAGGAAATATTTCTATGACAATGTAATATTGTTCAAACTTATATTATTTGATAGCCCAGAAACTAGAGGGTTCTTAGATTCGTTCATGGTAATTATAAGATATTTGTGGGTATTCATTTATTTTTCCATTTCAATTGTAATTGATTGAATTCGGATTCATCTCAATTTGATTTGATTAAGATCAATAATTTTTAGATGTGGCAATTAAATTCCAGTGTAAAAAGGGGCTTCATTTTTAGATGTTGATAATAACTTAATTGCACTTTTTTTTGGTAAAATGCTGATGTTCAGGTCTTAATTGGTTCGAAACTGATACTGACCCAATTATACCAAGAAAAAAGACCCAATTATAATCACATTCGGACCTTATGCTATACCCATTAACAATCCTAAGGGCCAGCAAAGCTGATTGGCTCAAGTTGTTGAACTGAATGATTTGTTTTTGTCCGAGTCATTAAAAAGGTAGTCAACTTCTAATTTATTTACTGAAACACAGTCATTCAGTTCAGCCATTTCAGTTGACAGCCCCTGAAAATGCATTTTTAAATGAAAAGAGGAACCAACAAACTCCAAGTGTAGATTGACTTTTAGGAATTTGCAGCTGCAGACATGGTGAATGGTTTGGTTGTTTTGAGGGGGAAAAATACCAAAATCAACACCAATATTTAGTGCCCATTTTGAACTGGGCCCCCCTGGGAATGTCAGAAGTTATATTTGGTAAAAATCAGGAAAGCCGATCATCGTGTTTCAGACACAAGAAACACAGTTGAAATACAAAGTTACTCCCAGTAGCTTCTCCAAAACATGGGTGTTCAACCACCGGTCACCACGATTGAATCATTGCACCTCGCCTCCAATGCAAAAGCCCTTCCAAACAGGCTCTTAGTTTGACTAATCAATGAACTGGGTAAATCAGAGAGTGCCATATGAATAGCACTAGCTCATCACCCAAAAATGGTTTCAAGTTGATTCATAAGAGGGATGAGATCATTTCAATAATTCAAAGGGGTGATTTTTCTTTCTATTTTTAAAAAATGGATCCATCCAAAGAAGCAACAGGATTCTACAACACAAGCAAAATACAAACTAAAAACACAAAGCTACCGAACAAAATACAGAAAACACAAAACCACTATCCGGCCTCTATGCTACGAGTATCACCACTAACATGATCACTAAGCCATGATGGTGGCTTTGAAAGCCACTTGCACTTGAAAGTTAACCATTGGACCTGTTTACAGGCTGGGCTTTGCCTCTTTATTAACAAAATATATTTAGGCTCGAGCCCGAGCCCGAGCCTAACTGTTGGGTTTAAATTTTGAGTTTGAGCCCGCCCTGATATAAAGCCCCAAACCCAATTTATAAATTATGAAAAGTTTTTTTTATTTAATAAAAAATTGATTTATTTATATTAAACGATTTTAAAACCCAAAAATATTAAAAGATCTCACTACTAATACCTTAAAGCCCAAAACCTAATATAATGTCCAAACCCAACAAAGAACGGATCGGACCATCGGATTATCCAGCCCTAAAAAGGTTTAATAACCATAAAGCACTGGCAGGTGGGCAGCCACATTGCTCGACCTAAATATAAAAGATAGGTCACATTGCTCGAATTTTTTGATAGCCCATTCAACAACTGAAGACAGTTTGATTCTAAGACTATCTTATTAAAACCATGAGACTTTGGAAAGATAATACCATTCAAGTCCAACACAACCACTGTTTTCACTTGGAAAGCAGACATTAAACTACACCTACCACACCTAGCTGCAATATTCAACTTGACCCAACCATGATGTGTAGGGTACTGATGGTTCTCACCATCATTTGGATGAGGAGGCCTTAGAAACTTCGGCCCCGGGATCTTAATGAATGAATGCTACAATACACATAATAAAGTTGTTTCTAAAGCTATTACTCGATCCCGAAAAGCCTTGCCAATGGAAAAGTCGTATTAAAGCAAATACTAGCGGAGGGTTCGCAGGGTTTGGAATGGACTAGTCGACCTGTTGATCTATTGACTTGGTTTCTGGCAAAAAATTATTGAGTCGGTTAATGATTCATTGACTCGAGCAGTCGAATCATCGATTTGTTGACTTGTTCAATGATTTTTGGCTGTTTTTTTTTTTTTAATTGGGAGCCATCCAGGCAACCGGTTCCATTTTATCCTAATCTCGGTCCTTGGTCAAAAATCATTGAATCGATCAATGACCCATTCACTCAAGCAATCAAACCGTTAACCCGTGCAATGGTTTTTGGTCTTTTTTTTATTTTTTAATTTTTGTTGTCAGAATAGGCCATCCGTTCGAACCGAACAATCAAACCGTCGACCCAAAAACCGGTGGCAATAATGGTTCCGTTTTCAAGTCATATGAGTCATAAGCTCGAATGACATAACACATATGGTATTGCTTAATGGACCTCACACACTCAATATTTTGCTTGTATTTTTTTTTTGTCAAAACGGGTCGTCCGTTTTTTTTATTTTTTTAATTGGGAACCGTCCAGGCAACCAGTTCCATTTTACCCCAATCCCAGTCCCTGACAAAAAACCATAAATCAGACAACAACCCATTGACCCAAGTGTAACCTGTTGACCCGTTCGATGGTTTTTGACCGTTTTTTTTATTTTTTAATTTTTGTTGTTAGAACAGGTCGTCCGTTCGAACTGAATGGTTGAACTGTTAACTCAAAAACCGATGGCTAGAATGGTTACATTTTTGGGTCGTATAAGTCACACGCTCGAATGACATAACACGTATGATACTGCTTAATAGACCTCACACACTCAATTTTTTGCCTGTAATTTTTGTTGTTAGAATGGATCATCCGTTTGAACCAGACGATTGAACCGTCGACCTGAAAACCGATGGCCATAACGGTTCTGTAATTTTTTGCTTGTAATTTTTTAACGGGACATCCATTCAAACCGAACGGTTGAACCGTCGACCCAAAAACTGGTGGCCAAAACAATTTCATTGTTGAGTCGTATGAGTCACACACTCGAATGACATAACACGTATGGTACTACTTAATGGACCTCACAAACTCAATTTTTTGCCTATTTTTCGTTGTCAGAACAGACTGTCCATTCGAATCGGATGATCGAACTTCAACCCGAGAACTGGTGATCAGAACGATTATGTAATTTTTTGCTTGTAATATTTGTTGTTAGAACGGGCCATCCGTTCAAACCAGACGGTCGAACCGCTGATTGTCAGAACGTTATTAACAACATTTATCAATAATAGTAAGTAATTATACTATTTAATTAAACAATCATTAATGATAGTTTTAATAATATTATTTAGTTATTTTTAATATAACAATAATTATTAAATTTATAAATAGGATTTATTAACAATATTCATTAAATTAATA